CGCGCATTGACAGACGGACAAGGGGAACAGAGGACCAAAACCAGCCATGCCCACAGTCAGACCTGGACTCGCCCCGTGTAGAAGGCAGGGCTGGGGCTGGCCCTGGCCCCTCTGTCCTCAACGCCTGCAGAAGCGCAGGCTGCTTGGAGCCCTAGGTGCTGGAGGGAGCACAAGGGGCAGACATAAGCCCGAGCATAGTCGGCACTGGCAGAGGCCAAGGGCAAGGACCAGGGAAGGGTTATTGAGCAGCCCAAGGCTGTGGGGCGCACACGGACCATGGAGCAGTCCCATCTCCCAAGCAAGCCCTGGCCAGCATGGGTGGGGCTCCATGGGGGCAACGCGCCGTGGACCGGATTAGCTTAGTCATTCAGAGTAAGGAGCGAGGCACAGTCGCTACACCGTGACAAGTCTCACATCCTGGGAGGGAAAGGGGCCCGGACTCACCCACAGGGTCCTCCACGCTCTGAGCGACCAAGGAAAGCCAAAGAGCAGGACGAAGGGGCACTTACCGATGTCCTGGGCAGGACTGGGGGCGGAGCCGCCGAAGAGCACATCAATGAGTGAGGACGCGGGACCTGAGTGGTACTTCCTGAGTGTGATCAGAGCCCTGCCAGGGATGGAGTGCCAGTTAACAGCTCTACAAAGGCCCGACGCGCTCCAGGCCACTCAGTGCCCATGGCCATCGCGCTCCCGGCCACCCAGCGCCCATGCCCATCACGGCTCCTGGCCACCCAGCACCCATGCCCATCATGGTTTGGCATCCAGCACCCCCACCCAATGCGGCTCCCGGCCACCCAGTGCCCATGGCCATTGCGCTCCCGGCCACCCAGCGCCCATGCCCATCACGGCTCCTGGCCACCCAGCACCCATGCCCATCATGGTTTGGCACCCAGCACCCCCACCCAACGCGGCTCCCAGCCACCCAGGGCCCCTGCCTAACGCAGTTATCGTACACAAAGGGCCCACGTGCATTGGGACAGACAGGGTCGCACAGCAGGGAGCAGCAATGGTCCTTGCAGGAAGCTCCGCCCATCACTCACTTCTTCATCCGCTGGTACGTGATGTCGTTGGCGAGCTTCAGCAGCCGGTAGGAGCTCCCTCGGTCCAGGCTCAGCTGGAAGTCGTGGGCTTCGTCGAAGGCCACGGTGATGGAGCTCGGGGTGAGGCGGGTCAGGACGCCCGTGGCCAGCTGACTGCCCTCGTTGGCAGTGTCATACAGACCCACAATGTCCCCTATGTCAAACAGGGAGACAGTCACAACTGACTCATGAAAGGCAGAGCTGGGGAAGGAGAGACAGAGAGCGCGCTTCCAGCTGCTGGTTCATACCCCAAATGGCCAAAACAGCCAAGGCTAGGCCTGGCTGAAGCCAGGAGCCTAGAATGGCATCTGGTGACTGGGGCCCAAGTACTTAGGCCAGCTAGCTCTGCCTTCCAAAGCACATGAGCAGGGAGCTGGATCAGAGGTGGAGTGGCTGGGACTTGAACTGGTGTCTGTGAGAACGCTGGCACTGCAGGCAGATGTATGTCCTACTAGACCACTGCAGCAGCCCTGCAGAAGCTCCAGCTTGCCCTGGTCAACCTGCCCGCAACGCCACTGGCCCTGCGGAGGGTCAGCTAAGACTTAACAATTGAGGCGCCGCCTGGGACACTCACACCACATGGCTGAGGGCCGAGGGCCTGGGCTCCAACTCCAGCAAGTGTGCACCTTGGCCGGCAGCACGGAACGAGCGACACTGGCTGGGTCTCTGCCCCCGTGTGGGGGTCACAGACGGAGCTCCGGACTCCAGCCTGGCCCCGTCTCAGCTGCTGCAGGCACTGGGTAGCGAGCCAGTGAATGCATGACCTCTTTCCCTCTCTCTCTGCCTTTAAAATGAAACAGACCCACATCTCAAACTGCTCGGGTTCCAGTCGGCCCAGCACGGCCTGCTCACCTCACCTGCTCCAGGCCCAGCCTGTCTCCCCCCCATACCAGCTGGGACGATTCTCTGATCCAGAATCTGATTTTCAAAGATGGAGACATTCACGCAAAACATACAACGCAGCCATGCCACTCTCTCCGCCCAGCTTCCCAGGCCACGGCTGATCCACGCGTTCCCGGAACAGATCGGGAAGTGGCCCCTCCATTCTGGGACTGGCACCTGTGCAGCCAAAGCAAGCATGCCAGGAGAGGGCACTGGGGACATAGCAGCCAGCCTGTCCCGCAGAACATGGAGGGACGGCAAAGCGTTGGGCCATCTGGGCGGCCTGGGCCAGGTGCCAACTCCCCCTTCCCAACCAGCTGGATGCTGCAGGTGGCGGCTCAGGAACTCTGGTCCCTGCCATCCGTGTGGGAGACTAGGGTTGAGTTCCAGGCCTGGCTCTGGACTGGCTCAGCCCTGACTGCTGTGCAATGAGGGGAGTAAACCAACACAGCATCTCTCTCTGCTCTCCACAGAAACAACTTCTTAAAAAATAAATACAACAAGGATCTGGCGTGATGGGACAGCAGCCTCTGCTCCACCTGCTAGTGCCAGCATCCCACACGGGCATCAGTTCACATCCCAGCCGCTCCACTTCGGATCCAATTCTGCTTACGGCCTGAGAAGGCAGCGGAGAACGGCCCGGGCCCTTGGGCCCCTAAACTCACATGGGAGACGTGGAAGAAGCTCTCGGGTCCTAGCTTGGGATCAGCTCAGCTCTGCCCGTTGTGGCCATCTGGAGTGTGAATCAACAGCCAGAAGACTCTCTCCCCCTTTCTCTTCTATCTGCTATTCACTTGGGCCACAACAGCCAAAACTGGGCCAGTGAAAAGCTGGGAGCCAGGAGCTTCTTCCAGGTCTCCCATGAGGGTGCTGGGCCTCCTGCACTTACTTGGGCCACCCTCCGCTGCTTTCGCAGGCCATTAGCAGGGAGCTGGGTCAGAGGTTTCTTGGTGTGAGAAACACTCAAAATCTTTCTCCCTGGTCATTGTAAACAACCCAGAATTGCTGTGAACCGGGGCGGCCGAGTCCCTGCAAATGCCCCGCTGCTCCGAATCCCACTACACGTGGGCGTTCAGAACCTCACCTACCACAGGGTAGGCACCTGGCAGAGTGGCTGGGTCGCTGCCCAGGATGCCCTCGTCTCCAACGACAGTGCCCCGTTCGGGTCCTGGCTCTGTCACTTTGGCCACCCTTCCTGGCAGCAGGCGGGGCCCGGGCACCTGGGACCCCGGCTAGCGTCCTGGACTCCTGGTTCAGCCTGGACCCAGCCTGGTCAGGTGAAGGACCCAGGCCGTGTCTCCGCTGTGCCAGAGGAAAAGAAAAAACAACATGACAGTGAACAAATGCTGAGAGGCCATGGGCACGCACCTGGGGTGAAGCTGTTGCTAGGCAGCGCCGCGGCCGGGGTGCACTTCCTGGGCTCGAAAGTGACTAGCAGCCGCCCGTACAGCCCCGTGCGCTGGCTGGCCACCTGCAGCTTCAGCAGGCACACACCCCGGTTCTGCAGCTCCTTCAGGGACAGGCTCTCCTGCCAGGACCTGGAAGACGTTAGAACCTTCTTCAGCGTCATGTCAGCTCCTCTGCCACCTTCCAGTTCCACCCACACAGCACGAGAGCATGGACGCAGTGGCTGAGAGACAGACCCCCTCCACCGGGTCTGGACACACGTGGATGTGTGCGTGCGGGAATACAACTGAGAAGGAAATCCGATCTTGGGCAGCAAAGCAGGTGACACTTGGTGAACACGCAGTATCTCGCACACATGTGCCCTGTGTGTTCCCGACAGGCAGCAGCTAACAGAGCATGCGCACATCCGGGACCGAACCAGGAACTTCAGGGCAGGACCCTCGTTCTTCGCCTCTGTGGCGCCTTCCCACGTTTCACTGGCCCCAAGTTATGATGGGCGGTGAATGCAGCCTGCACTGCTGGCTGCCCTGAGCCCTCCGGTCACAGTACACAGCCCACTGCTGGCCCCTGGTGCCCTCCCGGTCCCCTTGTCACCCCACAGCCTCCTAAGCCCCTCCAGGTCCTCTTCACACCTTACAGCCCACTGCTAGCCCTCAGAGCCCTCCAGCTCCCCTCGTCGCCCCACAGCCCGCTGCCAGTCCCCGGAGCCCTCCAGCTCCCCTCGTCACCCCAAAGCCCGCTGCCAGTCCCCGGAGCCCTCCAGGTCCCCTCGTCGCCCCACAGCCCGCTGCCAGTCCCCGGAGCCCTCCAGGTCCCCTCGTCGCCCCACAGCCCGCTGCCAGTCCCCGGAGCCCTCCAGCTCCCCCTGCCAGTAGCCACCATCCCCACACCCCCATCCCAGCTCTCATATCTGCCCCCTCCCTGGCCCCGGTCACTATCCTGCAGCTGTGACTTAGCCTGCAACCAACAACGGGGTGGGAACCGGGCCATCCAGAGCACTAAGGATAGGCACTGGCCTTCCAACCCGGCCCACACAACCTTCAAAGAAACCCTGCGACCCCTGGCTTCTCAGATCCCCGTCTGCCCGAGACAGGGAGGTTATGGGGTGCCAGAGGCCCCTCTGCGGGGATGACCTGGGCTCCCAAGAATCCCCGACCCACACCTGCAGGGCCAGGCAGGGACAGAGTCCCCGCACCCCGGGGCGCCCCAGCCTCCGGGAGCACCCACCGCCTTCACCGGTGGAGACGGTAGGCGGTGTGGAGACCCTCTGCCGTAGGCGGTGTGGAGACCCGCTCACTCCTGCAGGAGCTGTCGCACCCACACCCCACGCCCAGGCTCGCAGTTTTGGGGCGCCTGGGAGCCAGGGCCCAGGGAGAAGAGACCGAGCTCCCCGCGCGCTTGGGGGGCCTCCGCGGCCCAGGCCCCGCACCTGCGCTCCTCCACCTCCGCGGCCCTCTCGAGCTCCAGCAGCTCCAACTGCTTCGTCACGAAGCTCTCCACGGTGGCCGAGGCCATGGCCACGGCCGCGGCCGCCTCACCCCGCTGGGGCGCCCGGGCCGGACTGTTTCTCCGCTGCGGACTGGTGCGCCGACGCACGGGGTCCGTGCCGCTTCCGCTTCCGGTGGGGGCGAGATGGCGGCGGCCTTGGCGGTCGGCACGGCGGGGTTGGCTTCCGCGTGCGTCCGCGGGGTCCTGGGGGCCGCGGGACCGGCCGCCGGTGAGATGCGGGCTGCAGGCTGCACGGAGGGAGCGGGGCCGGGCGCTGCTCCTCGCCGCCAGGCCGCCTGCGCGGTGGGGTCCGCGCCACGGGCGTGGGTTCGGATCCCGGCGCTGGCGGTGGCGGGGTGCATGCCTGGCGACCGCCCTGGGTGGGCACCTACACTGTGTGCTGGGCGCCCCGCGGGGACCCGGCCGGTGCTGACCGGCCCCCGTGTGCCGGTCCTCCTGGACGAGGAGCGCCTGTCGGGCTGTGGGCAAGGGCCTGGGGCACCCCGGGGTGCCCATTCACCCACGGTAACGACCTAGCTCGGTTCACCGAGCGCGGGCTAGGCAACTCCCCGGCTTTGGCCTGGGCAGGAAGGGATGAGCTGGAAGGACTTGCAGGGCAGTGCAGCCGTTTCGCTGGATGGTATAATGGCATGTTTGTCCAGCGCTGTCGGATGAGGTTAGGCGCTGTGACATCATGGCCCCAAATGACCCATCCGAAGCCAGGGGCCCCTCTGGGTCTCCCACGTGGGTGCAGGGTCCCAAGGCATCAGGCTGTTCTCACTGCTTTCCCCGGGCCACAGCAGGGAGCTGGATGGGAAGTGGAGCGGCTGGGATATGAACCAGCGCCCAGATGGGATCCCGGCGTGCGCAAGCAGAGGATTAGCCTGTTGCATTAACCCCCCAACCCCATCAAAGACAGTGCTCACACAGATAAAGGGTGCGCGGGAGCGAGGGCCTCTAAGCAGCGTGAGTAAACTAGGTCTCCTGATAGACCGGCGCTGTGGGCAGAGCCACAGGTGCTGAGCGATCTGAAGGCTGGGGGTGTTGTGCTCAGCAGCCAGGGCGAGGCCCTGCTAAGGGGGTGCCTGCGGCACGTGCAGGCGATCAGGGACAGCATGGGCAGGCCCTGTGCTCTCTGAGCCTTGGCACCAAGGGTCGGGGGCTGAGCCCTTCTCTTCCTGGTCATTGGCAATCACCTTTGTACACTGGCTGAGGCTCTTACCAACGGTGGGGGATGCTGGGTGTGTGGCCTGGGATCTTGGTTAGGCCGCAGCGAGGCTGGTCGGCAGGGGCCGAGGTGGTCTGCACTCTTCAGGGTGCTGGCCACAGCCCTCACTGCTCCCCACGTGGGCTCCTGCCCAGGGCTGCCCAGCTCTGCCCAGCATTGAGCCGTTGTGGGCACGGGCCAAGGCCCAGGGAAGTCCCGGGGGACCGTGCCTGTGTACTTGGGGAGTGTGGTGTGAGGTGTGTTCACACCGTGTGGTGATGGTGTCTCGCTGTGGCACCAAGAGCCGGAATCCCTCCCGTGTGGCCACGTCGTGAAGTGGGTCACGGCACGCAGAACGCTGCCCAGCGTGGCTTGTGTCTCAAAGCCGTCACTTTCTCTGTGTATCTTCTCCCCACAGCCTGCCTTTGGCCTGCTTCTAGGCGATACAGTGCACAGAGCGCGCCGCCTGCACACAGGTAATAGAGCGTGGGTTTCGGTACCTGCCTTTCCGAGCGGCCCGTGGCGGGCTTGGCGAGGGGCTTTGCCGTTACTCTCCTCTGACCTTCACGCGCGTGGGAGCAGAACGGTGGGCAGCCCGCGAGCAAGGACGCCTGGGCCTTGGGGAGCTGCTGTTTTGTTTTCACTCTCTCCCCCCTCTCATAAACCCCCGACGCTACACCACACACACTCCAGACATCTCCACTACTACCATGACTCTCTCGCAACACAAAGGTGCGGTCGCACACTCCCCACACAACCCGGGGTGGGCTCGACACACACCCCACCTCTTCTATGGAGCGCGGAGCGGGGTGCCCCACAAACCAACACAATCTCCTCCTCTCCACTCAGCCCACCATAACAGAAACCCTCCATTTGTGTGCATATAACCCCCACTCATAACACACACACACACTACTACCCAAATGTTCGATAGAATAACTATACACACAAAATCAATACTACACTGTACACATCAACAATAGAGTCGGCGAAGCGTACAACACACGAGACATCTATCTGCGCGTGTGTGGAGGAGAGGGAGAAAAAAGTAAAGAATGGAAAAGTGAATAGGAAGTGAAAGGGGGATGTGATGTATGGGGTAAGCTGATGCAATGTAACACTTGTACACAGGTATTGAGCAGATGCAAATAATGGGGGGAGGAGGGAGGGCAGGGTAACACCATGGCTCCGTGTGAGTCAGGCCTAGTGGAGGCCGTCTGCAGCCTGGCTCCCAGGAGCCGTGAGCACCGGGCCCGGGGCCAAGGCTGGGCACAGCGAGAGCTTCCATCCACCCGCGTCCTGTCATACAGGGCCAAGCGCCTGGGCCTGTCTAGGCAAAACCCCGCCCCATCTCGGCTCAGCTAGGCTTCCCCAGGAGGCAGGACAGTAGCAGTTCCTGATTGGATGCGCAGATGTTGGCTGGCAGCAGGCTGTCCTGGGCAGTGTGGGGCCTGCTGACTGGGCAGGCCTGCATACGTACGTGGTCCCTGCCGCAGCACCAAGACCACGCTCCCAGCCCTGCCCCCTGCACCAGCCCCCACGTCGGGATACAGAGCGGCCTTTTGCACACAGTTAAGTAGTGGTGGGTCTGTTCACAGCTACGTTCCAAAGACATCTCTGAGTTCCCCTCCATGGCCAAAAGTGGTGCTGCCAGACCCAGCAGAGGAGACAAAACGCCACAGAGGTAAGGACTTGTTGGCTCCGGGGGCTGGAGGGCGGCCCACCTCCCCTCACTTGGCCTCGGATGGCCAAAACAGAAGGACCCATGAGCACCTGTTGTGAGGGCAGGGCGTGCCCTGGCCAGCCACTGAGGGGCAGCATGCGTTCAGGGTCCGAGTTCTCTGTTCCCCGGGGACCCTGGTGTGGGAGAAAGAGCTGGTGCCATGCCCGAGGCGCGACCGTGTGGCCAGGAGGCTGCAGGAGCCTGGGTTTATGGAAGGGAGGTCCCGGCAGTGGGAATGGCTGCCTTGAATCCCATGCAGGGTCAGTAGGCAGCTGCCAGAGACTGCTTCCAGGCGGGACCTGCGCCAGGTCCACCCGTGCCCAGCCTGCAGCCAGGCGTGGGGCAGTGCTCAGCAAGTTTGTTGAGGGTGAGCAAGGTAGAGGTGCCAGGCATCTACAACAGAGCCAGGAGCTTGTGTGGCTGGAGGCGGGCAGGTAGCAGGCTTGCTGCTGGTGCCCACGAGCTCTCTCTGCTCCTCAGGGTGTGCCCACCACTACCCTACTCCCGTGGCTGCCTCTGGTCCCTGAGGAGCCTCTGTAAACCCGATAGGCAGTGGCAGGTGCTGCGCCTCCTGCGGCCGCTAGGGGGAGCTGCTGTGCTGCAGTGGATGCGCCACTGGGGTGCCCAGGGTCACGCGCACACTGGACACGCTGCTGCCCGGTGGTGGCTGACCTGCGTGCCTTCCCCGCAGAGCTCGTGGGAAGGGTCAATGAGCTGATTGCCCAGGGCCAGTACGGCCGGCTCTTTGCCGTTGTGCACTTCGCTGGCCACCAGTGGAAGGTCACCTCGGAGGACCTGATCCTGATCGACAACGCCCTGGACGCTGCGTGTGGGGACAGGATCCGCCTGGAGAAGGTGAGAGCAGGCCCCTTCGCGCGGGGTGGACGTGGGGGTGAAGGGCGGCCAGGGGATGGGTAGCAAGGGGGGCAGCCCGCAGCCCAGGACAAAATTCCGCCCGTGCAGCCCTGCCTCCCACCCCCCTTACCAGGCCCGCCCAAGGGGGATGCGTGATCATGGGGTTAAGAGAAGTTGCAGTGGGCTCTCCCGCCAGCCAAGCGCCTGCACCCAGGTCTCAGGCAGGAGTTTCCTGGGCCAAGGCCCACCCTCCTGCCCAGCCAGCTCGGCCTGGCCAGCCTGACTGGTTACGGCTCTGGCTGCTCCGTTTGGGGAGTGGGCTTGATTTCTTTTTTTTAAAGATTTATTTTATTTTTATTGTAAAGACAGATTTACAGAGACAAGGAGAGACAAACAGGAATATCTTCCACCCTCTGGTTCACTCCCCAAGTGGCCACAATGGCTGGAGCTGAGCCGATCTGAAGCCAGGAACCAGGAACCTCTTCTGGGTCTCCCGTGCAGGTGCAGGTCCTAAGGCTTTGGGCCGTCACTGACTGCTTTCCCAGGCCACAGGCAGGGAGCTGGAAGGGAAGTGGGGCTGCCGGGACACAAACAGGTGGTGGGCTGGATTTGTGTTGTACCATGGCAAGGCCCCTGCGGTGGACAGTGTCTGCAGGGCGCAATTCACGGTGTCACCCATTGCGCCTCTGAGGTCCGTGTGCTCACTGTGCGGGAGTGGAGGCTGTCCCAGCACCCGCACCCGGGCCTGAGCTCCGAGGGGAGCTGGTCCACTCAGCGGGGCACAGCAGGAGAGCCCCTTGTGGGGGCGGCCTGGGCAGTGCCCACATGAGCTGGGGACAAGAACAGGCAAGATGTCAGTGTGGCGGTGGGTTTGTGAAATGTCTCAAAGCATGTTATTTGGAAACATTTTGCCTTCACAAAAAAATTAAACAAGTCCTGCCCAGTTCACCTCTCAGAAATTCAGCGGTGGAGAAGCTGACAACATGCCACAATTGTTTCCGTTCTGTGGCCCTGCATGCGGCTTGTTGCTTTTGTTGCTTTTGTGTAGCTTGGCTGGATGTTTTCTTCCCAGCACATGTGAGGAGGTCCTGTCTGCTGCACTGTGACCCAGGGCGCTGCCTCGAGGGGATACGGTCCTCCCCACCCGTGAGAGGGCTTCCTCACTGTGGAGTTCTGGGGGCACCAACCCACGCTGTGGCTCACTGACTCACTCTCTGAGTCAAAAACAACAAGAGGGCCAGAGCAGTGACACACAACAGGCCGGGCCTCCGCCCTGCAATGCTGGCATCCCGCAGCGGCCCCGCTTCCCATCCAGCTCCCTGCCTGTGCCCTGGGAAAGCAGTGGAGGACGGCCCAAAGCCTTGGGACCTGCACCTGCATGGGAGACCGGAAGAGGCTCCTCCCTGGTGCGTGTTCTGGCTCCCTCGTGGCTGAGGAGACACACACCTGCCCCGGCGTCTCAGCTCACGGAGCTTCCCGCCGCCGCTCTCGGGAGGCCATGACTAAATGCACCTGTTTCAATTGTTCAGGTTCTGCTGGTCGGGTCGGACGACTTCACGCTGCTTGGCAAGCCACTCCTTGGGTAAGCCTCAGTGAAGTGCTGGGCTCTGTCCAGCCTCCGGGCTGGCCCCGAGTGCCGGGGACCTGCCACAGTGTGTGGGGGGCCACATACTGGGAATTTTCACCATTAGTCCAAGACGCCAGCTGCAGCGAGCCACACAGAAGTCTTGATTCCAGCAGGAGATGGCTGCGGGGAGGGGCAGAGCAGAGGGGAGGGAGATGGCTGCGGGGAGGGGCGAGCAGAGGTGTCATGGTGACATGAGGATCTCCAAAGGAAGCCGGCAGGAGAGCAGAGAGCACGGAGTGGGGAAGAGGGAGGCAGGGCCACACGTTCCCTAGCAACGGGGCAAATATTAGGGGCATGGCACTGTCAGGGGTTGGAGGGCAGGGCGGCAGCTCGGAGCCCTGATGCCACAGCGGGTTGGCGGGCAGCGCGGCAGTGGGTCAGCAGGCAGGGCAGCAGCTTGGAGCTCCAAGGCCACAGCGGCTTGGGTTGTTGGAGAGCCAGCTTACAGCAGATTGGTGGAGAACAAAATTGGACTCAAGACTTACAGAAGTGAAAGCAAAAGCAAAACTTTGGGGGAACCAAAGCAGACACCAGAAGGCCGCCCAGTCTAGCTGGCTGGTTGGTCTTCGGGACCGCCGTCCGAGACTCCTCACTCTGCACTTGCCTCAGTGCCAGACCTGGCAGGTGGGACCCTCGTCAGGAAGGGCAGTTAGTGTCGCGTGAGGAGAGTGCCCAGCCCCAGGCCCCGTCCTGGGCTGCACTGTCAGACCTGCACGGCCTTTGTCGGGCGCTGGCAGAGCTTCCAGAATGTTCCAGCGAGGGCACTTTTTCCATCAGCAGAGAGGAAGGTGACCACTGGGGAAGGGCCCCAGAGGCACCAGTGTGCTGAGAGCTCGTCCCGGGACCAAGTGGGGCTTCCCTGTTCTTCCTTCTAGAAGGGACCTTGTTCGCGTGGAAGCCACGGTCATCGAGAAGACAGAGTCGTGGCCAAAGATCAACATGAAATTCAGGAGAAGGAAAAACTTCAAGAAGAAAAAAAGTAAGTTAGAAAAAGTGCCGCTGGTGCCTGGTGCTCCCCCCGCTGCGGGGGATCTCGGGGTTCCCCCAGGAACTCCAGACAGGAGGGGGAGGACCCCGAAGTGGACACAGGCAGGCACTGACAGCGTGGCACTTGCTGGGGTGGCCCTGGGGTGCTCAGGGGCCTTGCCATGCTCCCGGGCGCGTGTGCATCATCCAGGGTGGGGGAAGGGGAGGGCCTGTGCCACCCCTGGGTCCGGGGGTGCAGGAGCTGCAGGGCCCTCTCCCAGGCCACCAGCTGTCCCTGCAGGTGTCCTTGTCAGGAAAAAGACAACAGGAGGTGAGTGAGTGGAGGGACCAGCTGCAGGCAGGCACAGCGGCAACAAGTGGTGCCACCATGACCTCATGCCAGGGAGGGATCTGTGGAGGGTGCCAGTTCCCCTGGGGGTAAGACTCCGGCCTTCCCAGGTCCCTGCTGGCCAAGGGCGGCCACAGGCCGGTCCTAGGAGAGGGTGCCAGCCAGGCCTCGGCCCGCTCCCTTGCCTGCCTGGTTCACTCACAGACTTCTGGCGTCGCCCCAGGAGCACTTCCTCCTGGAGCAGATCCGGGATGGTCTGGGAGACACAGCTCTGACTGGGTGGGACGTCTCAAGAACAGGAGGTCGCAGGCCTCATCAGGGTGGGGGAGCCTCTGCTGTCCTGGGAACCACGTGGCTTCCTGCCCTTGGTACAGCAGCAGTGGCCCTGGTGGGCATAAACACACTGCTGGCATCCAGCAGCACCTGCCACCGCCTCCCCCGGAAGCCCCGTGTGTCTGGTCAGTGAGCCACGTCCACTGCTCACAGCACAAACTGGGTGCAGGGAGAGGGGCTCACCGGCCCGGGGGCCGCCTCCTTGTCCGCTAGGTGCAGGGGACGAGGTGGGGCTGGTGCCACACACAGGCTCAGATCGGTGCGGGCAGGCACCGCATGGAGCTGCCTGCAGGCAGAGCCCCAGCCTGGTAGCACAGGGACTGCACGCTGCAGGTCCCCAAAGGTGGAACGTGTAGATGACCCCGGCTGGCTTCTCCCCCGCAGTTATTGTGACCCCACAGACTGTGCTCCGGATCAACAGCATCGAGGTGGCCCCGCGTCTGCACTGAGCACCGAGCCACCCGGGCCAAAGCCTGGGAATAAACGCATTTCCCAGAACCTGTGTGCCTGCGGGCGCTGTGTGGGCGTGGGAGCGAGGGAGATGTGGAGACAGCACAGCCGACCAGCGCTTGCTCAGGCCGCAGATGGGACCTGGGCCCCTGGCCGCCCGAGCACTGAGCTCACAGGAGGCACAGGCCGGATGCCTCTCCAGGACAAGAGGGCCAGAGCTGCGGGTGCCGTGAGCTCTGCACCGTTACAGCCACCTGTTGGTGCTGTTGTGCCCCCTGGGGCCTGGGAGGGAGGGTTGTCGTCATGCCCCCACCACCCTTGGCTGCCCTGGTGGCCATGCTGCCAGCTCTCCCGGCAGTGACTCCCTGTGAACAGCAGGGGGCAGCAGCCCAGCCTCCCAGAGGACTGCCTGGGCCTCCACCTCAGAGCCTTCCCTGCCGGCCGGTGTCTGTCCACTCGCGTCACTGTCCCATGGGCAGGTTGTAAATCACATCCCGTTTTCTGTGGCTTGCACACATCCGTTGTCATCCATGCTGTGGTCAGCAGACATTCTGGAAAGCTCTGCACAGCCCTGTTTTCCCTGAGACCACAGGGGCTTCTGAGGCCACATGGACCTGTGTGTGACTCGGGCCCACCTCTGCTGCGCCCCGCGTGGCCCCAGGCCTGTCCACCAGCCTTGGCCTCCTCCAGTGGCAGCCCCATGGGAGCACAGGAACGGGCCTGCGTTGGGGGACAGGGGTTGACCCAGAGGTGAAGGCCCAGCTGAGACACCTAACTTCGAGAGCCAGGTTCCAGTCCCAGTGCTGCTGGCTCTGGCTTCCCACGGAGGCTCCCGGGGGTCCCAGCTCAGGTAGGTGGGTCCCCAGCTCTGACGGAGGAGAGCCAGGTGAGGCCTCTGGCTGAGGTCCGGCCCAGCCCATGTGGGGGCTGAATAAATACATTTAATTAAAACTACAAATGAGGTGGGAGCACACAGGCCAGGGAGTTGGGGGCCTGAGGGTGAGGGAGTGTGCTGTGGGAGGGTGGGGTTCTGGGCCGGGAGGGGTGCCAGCTGCACCACACGGAGCGTGCCTGGTGCCGCTGCCCTGCGCGCTCGGGAGGGTTAACGTGGTGATTAGTCACTGCTGTTTTGACTTTTAATGGACTCGATTAATGAGTTACAGCTGACTGGAAAACAGCACGCACAGAGTGCAAATGTCCCAGGAGGCCCCGCACACCCCCCTGTCCGCCTCCCGGCCCCCGCACTCAACAAGGTCGCGTTCCTCTGCACTGCCAGGCCAGGCGCGGTCAGCTGGTCGGCTGGGCCACATGGGCCTGTCCCCTGACTGCCCATCCGGAGGCACCTGCTGGCCTTGCCTCCAATTCCTGAGCCCAAGTCCAAAAGGTCAGGGCTGGCTGAGGCCCCAACCAAGCACCCCTAAGAACCCCAACAGTGCACACTGCTCACCTCCATCAGTCAGCAGGAGGCAGTTCTAGAACCTTCCTCAGAATGTGCCGTAGTGACCCCAAGCTAGCGGCACAGGTAAGGATCTTGCAGTGCCCACCAGCCATGCAAAACCAGCAAATGGCCACCATTCCTCACGAGGCTGCCCTCAGACGGAGGAACCAAGCACCGTCTTGAACACACGGGACCGTTTCCTTGTTGGTCCCCGGGCAGTGCCTTCCCAGCTGCAGCTGCCCACACAGCACTGTCAGCCTGAGCTGCCCAGAGATGAGTTGAGGCACGCGGCAGGCGGGCAGGGGGCAGAGGGGCTCCGCCTCAGTGGGCCCTTCCGGCTTCCTGCCCCTGCGAGCACACCTGTTGACAAGCCCAGGACAGCCTCGCCTGCCCCTTCCCCGCCCGCGCTCTGGACTGCTGGCCACAGGAAGGGAAGAGACGCGTGTCACCCACCAGCGTGGGTCGACCCAGTGACCGCAGACCGCACGAGGTGTGCTGTGAGCACCCGGGGGCCCACCCGGGACCCCACACTCCAGGAGGGGTTGGGCCCCATAAGGACACCTGCAGTAAGGCACAGGTGGCCATGGGTGCGGGGCTGAGGGCCAGGAGAGCGACCGGTCACAGCTGGGAACGCCTAGGACCTGTGGGTTGCCAGACTCGGTGTCGGCCCACCTGAGTCAGGGCCTGCTCTGGCTGTCTCAGGGCCTGCTCTGGCTGTCTCAGGGCCTGCTCTGGCTGTCTCAGGGCCCCGGGCCTCCCCTCCGCTCAGGACCCCCTCCCTCCATTGGAGGGTGGTGCTGGAGGCAATTTTGTCTAGCACCTCTGCCTTGGGACTCCCAGGAGCCGCACCCCACTTCCTGCCAACTTGGGGAGATAAGAGAAGCAGCTTGCCAGGCTGGGTGCCCTTTGTCCTACTTCCTGGGCTGACACCTGGTCCCGTGACCAAGAACTGCAGGCCTGGCTCCCCTAGCAGGGCCAAAGGCTGCCCGGGCATCTCCCTGCCCCTCTCCAGTCCCAGCCCTGGCATAGCCTGGACACAGGTGCAAGGGCTGGCCCCCGTCCAGGCTGGTTGTAAACACACCCTTATCAGACACCCTCTGGAAATGACATCTGGGGACGAAGGTCGCTCCATGGAGTAAAGAGGTCCCACATGGGGGCTGCCAGCAAGGCGGAGGCAGTGGGGGGTCAGAGTGGGGCCTACGCTGGCAGGTTCCTGCGGACAGGGTGCTGGGCCATGGGCAGCACACACACGCTCATGCTCAGAGCCAGCCTCCAGCCAGCCCCGGGCTCCCCTAACACCCGTGGGGTGACAACATGTGGAGATTTCTGCCCGTGTCACCCTGGAACTCTTGGGGAGCCTCGTGTGCATTCATCGAGGCGACCACACTGAGCCCACCACAGGAAGTAAGCCCGGGCTTGGCAGTGCTCTCCCCGGAAGGAGCCTGCGCCTGGCCTAGGGCAGCCACAGTGCCCACATATCACTCCAGGGGGGCTGGCTCCTGGCTCAGCTTCCTGCTGGCATGTGGGAGACCCGAATGGCATTCCAGCCCCCAGGCAAGGCCGCTGCAGGTGTTTGGGAGTAGTGACCCAGTGGACCGGAGACCATCTCTCTGTCTCTTTTTAAAAAATAATTTTCTTTTTGTTTAAAAGACAGTGTTACAAAGAGAGACCTTCCATCCGCTGGTTTATTCCCCAGATGGCTGTACTACCCAGACCAGTCTGAAGCCAGAAATCAGGAGATTGTTCCAGGTCTCCCACGTGGGTGCAGGGCCCCAAGCACTCGAGTCACCTGCTGGCAGCCAGGACTGAGAGCAGGGCCCATCGGGATGCGCGCGTTCTAGGCGGCAGCTCCACTCGTGGCGCCACTGTGGTGTGGTGCGTTTTGTTTCTTTAAGAAAGCTGTAGCTCCGAGATGTAGTAGAGAACTGTTCCAGTAGATCAACTGATGGAAACCGTAGCTCGCTTGCCAGTGACCTCGTTGAGTTGGGTCTCCAAGCCAGTCTCCGGCTGCGTTGGTTCTGGCTGCTGTCAAAGGGGCCTCTCGGGCCTGGCTGGGCTCACCACACAGGCCCACCGGTGGCTGCTTCGCCTTTGCCGACGGACTGCAGCCAGGATGAGCAAGGCTTCCTGCCCGAGGGCTCAGCCCACCAAGGGAAGGCAGAGTTCAGGCAACCTTGAAGCATGCGTCTTCCTCGCGACTCCTTCTGCTCCTGGCTGTGGATCCTGCAGTAGTCACGGTCGGTCCAGGTGCTGCCGTGCACCTGCCCCGGCCTGGGGTCTACTCTGCCTCCAACAGAAGCTGCTGCGGGGCCCACCACACAGAGGCAAAAACAATAGCATCTCAACAGCCCCAGGGCAGATGGTCCCATGGCTTTGTCTTTGCCCTGGAAAGAGTCCTTCCTATACAACCTGTTTTTTTCTGGACCCAAGGAACTTTGGCCTTGTCCCTGCAAGTCCCGCAAGCCCATGGAATTCCCCCTCTCGGTCCGGCACTCCATCCTCTGGGAGCCGTCTGCCCTGCCGCCTCTCTCCAGGCACTCAAGCTGGCACACACCTACTGCGTCAACAGGGGCACTTGCACACACACGGGACCTTCGTGGCTCTTCTTTCCTCTTTGGTCCACTACCGGTCACTCCAGTGGAGCCCGTGGAGCAGGGGCCCGAGGCAGCCTAGACACACAACTCGCCCTGTGAGGGTCTTAGCAATTCTGACACAGGTTCACACACGTCGCCCCGTGTCCTCCGCCCCTACCCTATCCTCCTGCAGACCCACCAGGGAAGCAGTGACGGCTAGTGGTCGTCCCCGACCCCCACTTTGGGGAAGGGCAAGTCCACTTGGAAGCGCTGGCCACCGTAGGGCTGCACCTGCATGGACCCTTGTCGCGCCCACGTGTCTTACCGCCCAGCAGTAAGAGGCAGACGCGATTGAAGCCTTCTGCGGTAAAGTTTATTGCGCGCACAAAGATGAGGAAGAGGAAGGGGCGGACCCCGGCAGTCTTTCTGCTCTTATGTGCTGACTGGCCCCGCCTCCGCCGATGATAGGTCAGCGTCATGATCACGCAGGGTCCTGGGCGACTGGATTCGTCAGTCCCCAGTGTTCACGTGCCGGCCACGCCACAGCTCACTGCGCATGCGCTAGGCTACGTGACACGCACGAAGGTGTGGCTTCTCCGGCCGGCGCCATTTTAGGCACAGCATGTGGCCAGTGCATACAGATGCGGCTTGCAACAGACCCTGGTTTAGACAAGCCAGGGGTGGATTTCCTCACTGCAGTTTTCGACCAAGCTGTTGGCCTTGGCTGGAAGCATCATGTCCCCAGGGTCACGTGTGAAGGGCGTTCACGGGGAGGTGTTGGGACACCTGAACTCTGCCCGGGGAGGTGGATTCATTCGTGTCCTGTTGGGTGACTGAGGGAGTGGCTTTGTTGGGAAACTCGGGGTGCCCTGGGACGATGCGCTCGGATGCCTTGGGTCTACCCTCCGTGTGAAGCAGCACGGAGCCCACAGAGGATGCAGGTGCCTTGTCCTGGGAGCCTCCAGGCCCCACGAGCCGGAGCTAAGAGACCCTGCTCTCTCATGAGCTAACGGCTCCCACGTGTCCCAGCACA